CGGGATAAGTCTAAAATTACCACTACTAATCGGCGTTACCACCAGCGCCTTTGTTTGGAAGCCTGAATTATCAACTCCGCCCACGCTCTTTTAGATCGTGATGATGGCGGCTTACCTCTTGACGCCAATTTACACCTCATCAGAAAAAGGAGCTGTTAATTAGTGACCATATAAAAGGACCTCTCGTTGCAGCGTCTAGATCACCCCTGATGAAGGCACCAGACAGGACTGTGGAAACGTTGGGTCTATGAATTGTAACTTCTCGGTTACATCCATTAAATCTTTAAACCAGAGTAGTATCAAACCATATCCGATTGTCCACCTGGTTGCCACGCGAACTTTGACCCTTTAACTCCCTGATCAAATTTGTAATTCTCCATAGTGTCAAACACAATTCTTATAATGTTTGTTCATCAGAGAATTTATTTTTGGATCAACTAATTATCCCCAAATTGACATTTTTCTTTAGTCTCATGACTTATCTGGTTGATTTTCTAGTGATATTGTAAGCAGAAATTTTGTCTTGGTCACTCATTGGAGTTAATAGGTTAATATATTTTAAAAACTGAGGAGTTAAAGATTGGCCGACGGGGCGACGTTTTTAAACTGCTGGTCTATCGTTTTTGTGTTGGCGGAAAAAAAAAGAGAGCTAGAGGTTTCCCAATCCCAGGCGGGCAAATATTTATTATAACGGTGAAAACGGAAGGAAGAAAATCCTCTACCTCTGTAGATTACAACCAACCATCAAGACTAAGCAGTTTTATCCCTTCCTACATACGAGCGGTTTTTAACCATTAGTGGTTCAAACCCCAACAACGTGGTGCTACCGATTCGTAAAAAAATTGTTATGTTTGCTCCTGGATAACCCCTCCCGGATAACCAATCCCGTTTTTACACGTAATTTACAGCTCAACATAGATCTAATACACCTGTTGATACCTCTTCACCCCTCCAGACAAGCTATTCCCTCCTGGAGGGAGTTTAGACTGGTTGATTAGTTCTCCTCCTGGATAACAAATCCCGTTTTTACACGTAATTTACAGCTCAACATAGATGTAATATACCTGTCGATATCTCTTCACCCCTCCAGGCAAGCTTTTCCCTCCTGGATGGAGTTTGGACTGGTTGATTAGTTCTCCTCCTAGATAACCAATCCCGTTTTTACACGTAATTTACCATTCAACAAAGATCTAATATAGTACGATCATCTCATCAGAATTTGATTGCACATCAGAATTGAGAGACGGAAGTGGTCGTTCACTAGCTGCAGGTGAGAAGAGAACAATTTTTCCCTCTTTGAGGTCAAATACATTCGCATCATAGCGCAGTCAATGAAAACAATTATTCTTTGTAACAATATTTTCACACTAATTCTGCAAAAAAATTGACACAAACTATGCAAAACTGTATGCGGAGCAGAAGCCGATCTTTTCGATTAAAATCAACCGACATTGGGATAACTACTAAAAAACACGTTTAATTCAAATATATTCAATGGCAGTCCTGCTTGATTTTTGCTCATGAAAATAGTTTCGGATAAATGTTTAAACATTGTTCCATTCCTGTCCAATTCTCTATTTGTGTGCCGCCATAAGCCAAAGTTGAATTTTGGCGTTATTACCTGAAAGGACTACTAATAATCTTGAAGATGAACATTGTTACATTATCTTGTCATTTTACCAGGTCACAAATCGGTATTCACGACAAAAACAAAATTTCCTTTGTCATGCAAATTATGTCCGCTTTCCAAATGAATCCTTGAATGTAAATGACCCAAACCCAAAAATGATCCCCAACTTGAACTGCTACTGATCTTAATGAAGATTGTAAATGATTCTGAAACTCATATGATCATTATTTAATTTTTTAGAAGGATTCCGCATTGAGTGATAAATCAATCGATCCGTCGAAACAAATAATTCGATATTCGTTCTAGACTCGGCTATTTTTTGACTGAGTATCGTTTTTTATGGAATGATTCTCGCTGCTCTCTCGAGTTAAGCTGTGTAACAAAGGTTTCGGTTTTTTTCGTAATTATGCAGTCTTAAATATATTCATTAGGGTTGCCTGATCAAAGAGAACGATGAACTGGTGTAGGTTTGTTCTCACCTTAAAACCTTTTGACCTACCTGCTCCGTACATCTAACTCTCTAAATTAAGCTTTGTTTGTGATCTGTAAAAGACACACGCAACCCAGCAAATCGAAACATTACAGATACTATAGTGTATTGGAAAAACCAACTCCGTTAGGAAAGAATATGGGAAACTTCCTAAAACGAATCTCAGCTTTGGTTTATTTCGGTGTTTATTTGTAATATTGTTACTTAAATCACTCTTCAGCTTCATTATTCATCACGTCTTAAAGTTTGTGGACTTGTTACAGAGAAATGATCACCGATGTCTTTCTAGTTACAATTCATCGAAGTCAGTGAACTGCTCTTTGACCTTCCTTTACTGCCAGATTCTTAATCTTCGAAAATATGGCTGCCATAGCACTTGATGAATCTGATACAGGAAATTTAAAGTACAGTTGACTATCATCGACATACGCGGCAGTATGATTGTGGATAATAGCACTAATTAAGTCATTGATATAAATTGTAAAAAGCACTGGACCCAGGATTGATCCCTGAGGTACTCCGTTTGTTAAAGGTAGCATTTCTGAGACTGAGTCTTCGTATCGTATCCTTTGATATCTGCTGGATAGGTAGCTGCTAAACCAGGAAACTGCTGAATTTTAGTAGTTTTCTAGTAATAAATTATGATTAAGACTGTCAAAAGCTTTTGACATATCAAGCAGTACAAGTAACGAGGCCGATTTTTCGTCAATTGCTTTCAAGAGGTTGTCTGAAACATTTATAAGGGCAGTTTCTGTTAAATGCATTTTCCTATTGGCACTCTGGTAGAGCGACAGTTTATCATTCGTTGTTAAAAATTCCACAAACTGCTTGTGTGCCAGTCTCTCACATACTTTCGATAGAATGGGTAACAATGATATCGGTCTGTTGTTGGCCAGTTCTTCTGAATTGCCTTCTTTGGGTACAGGTATCACTTCAGCAATTTTCCATGCTTTGGGAAAGGCAGCCATTTGAAACGAACTATTCACCAGTCTTGAGATCACAGGTGCGATGCTCTCACAGCTGGCTTTCAGGACTCGAGCAGAGATTTTATCATATCCTGACGCTTTGTTGGGGGCTAAACTCTTAATAACGGACTTGACATCAGTTTCTTTTATGTATTGAAACTCAAATCCTTCTTGTTCGGCATGTAGGCCGATTTCCATACTTTCCTCCCTAGGACCACTCTCATTATCAAAGCCTTGTTCCCTTGTTATCAAGTTTGTTTTATAGGCAGTAAGTTCGCCTACTGATGTGAAATACTTGTTGAATTTATTTGCCAAAGTCTCATGGTCCTCCAAAGTGTTCGGACGTTTAACAATACCTCGAGACATGCATCGATTTAAGATCTTCCAAATGGCATTTGTATTTCCTCTGCTGTTAACTATTTCGTTCCTTACATGGATTTATTTCAGGTGTTATGAACGGAATAGAGCGGGCTTTGATCTTTATACGTTTGATGGGTGCATGCTGATCCAACACCTCTACGACGAGAGAATTGAATGTTTCTATTTGAGAATCTATATCATCGAAGAAGTGTACCATGTGCCACGGAACAAGAAAGAGGTCCTCGAAAAAGCTATCGGATGTGTACCTGGAATAGCTTCTCACGGAGGTGTATTTGGCTTTAACTTTAGGGCGCCTTATCCTCAATGTAACTTCAACTAAGTTGTGATCACTTATTGAGGGCGCTATGACTGAGCAAGAATCCACTAGGGTAGGGTCGGTACACATAACGACATCAATCAGCGAGCTCTTTGTTTCTGTGATTCTAGTCGGTTCCTTCACCAATTGTGTTAAGTTGAAAGTAGCACAAAGTTCTTTCAAGGTTCGAGTTGGGTTTCTTTAATCAAACATGCAAGCAAATACCTCCCAAAAGACAAAAAAAACCAACTTTTTAAAATTGTCTCCAATCTTTGGCGTGTGATTTGCTTATTCATCTTTAAGGAGCAGAACGACGTTAGATCTTAAATGAAGCGAAGAGCTCTACAAATCTTTTCTGCTATGTCTAAGGGTCTAAACCTTTTAGTGAAGTGTTACTTCAAATTCAAGGCCTTAATCCTTAAAAACTGAAGTGAGTCTCTGGTATCCTGTTTTATCATAATCTAAGAGATTCAGGGAGCCAGTATCACAAGGTTTGTCAAAAAGCCGAATAGTTTTCTGTTTAAGTTAAGTGTCCCTCTGCCGGTATCGTCATTCTCATAGTTCGATGTTTTCTTATTTTCAGCGTCGAAAGTTTAATAGACAAAGGTTTACTTGATGGTCATAAATTTAATTGTTCATATTTTATTAACTATTAAAGAGTGCGATTCTGCTTTCAGACCTTTATCTACCGTTTTCTTTCTTAACCGTTTAGAAGAAAAAAAAGATACAAGTCGTATGCTAACTCTTACTTTAGAAAATGGATTAACATTATTGTCTCTAAAGAAACGCTTTAATGATTAACGTTTGAGGTTGCTTACTTTTAATCAAGAGGTAAACAAATAAACAACCGAACAAAGGCCCGTTGGTAGCTGCAACCTTGAAATGTAGTGTTTATTGCTTTAAAATCCGACCCTCCCTGGAGGGGGAAATATCTCAAAGATCTTCTCATGTTGTTCAAAATCGATTGAACAATTTTAAAAGTGTCTCCCTAAACATTAATATCTAGATGAGTTAACTGAATTTCTCAGAGTAAAATTATCGAAGTAAAATGTTAGCCTATTATTTGTTTCATTTGAGGCAAAAACAGTTCTAACTGGAGTGTCATGTATTCATTAAAACATTTCCTTTATTGCCCCACATTAAAAACGTTTAAACGTTTCGTTCCCGTTATGTGGCCACTTTCAAAAACAATTATGCAACGTTGTTTCCCCTTTAGATTGTACTTCAAAAAGCAGAATGATGCATTTCCCTTTGGTACTTCTCGTTTTTGTGTTATACACATTTAAAGAAACATGTCAGGCTACCGTTACCGAGTATTCTGAGCTGGGAAGAGTGATAGATCTTCGAAAGGTCAACTTACTGGCCAACTTCAACGAGCAAGAGAACAGGATCTTTGAGGAGCTCCCCCCCAAATGTCTCGTAAAGAAACCTTTGAAATCTTCAAGCAGCTACCTCGATTATTATGCAAGTACCAAGCAATTTTATAAATCACTTGCCACCCAGTCAAGCTTGAGCGCCTCTTTACAGTCCGCCTACTCGTTGGGTGTTACTGTATCAGTAGCAACAAACATCCAAACTTCAGAGAATACTGAAGTAAGTGGCATGTCCTTAAACAAGCAGGCGCTAACGGAAAAGATCCACGTCGATAAGGAATGTCTAGTAAATGCTGACATCTCCACATTAAAAGGAACATTTCTAAAAGACTTCGAGGACTTGCCCGTAAACATCAAAAGTCCCTGGGAACAGAACTCATGGAGAGATTATAGTAATTTTCTTAACAAATACGGCTCTCACGCCATAACTTCGGTGGTGCGCGGATCAAGATTTCAGCAGATGGCATTCGCAGAGAGCTCTAAAGCTTACACTGAAAGAGATTTCCAAGTAAAAGCTTGCCTTTCGGCCGTAGGACCTACCCAGGTTGGACAGCTTGGCATTTCTGCGTGTTCAAGCATAAGCCAAAGTGAGATATCCAAAGTGAGTACGATGAGCATAAGCGAGAAACGCTTTGTCAAAGGTGGAAAAAGGGAAACAAACAGCGAGCTGGCAAACGGAGCGACGTCGGCTGAATTGCTTAGCCAACTCCTGAATGAAGCAGATGAATTTCCCGCGTCTATTCAGCACACCTTTATGGCGATCTGGACCATCCTACTAAGCCGATTTAAACATGGATCTCCTAACAATATCCGAGCCACAAACCTCGAGTACTACTACCTTGGTTTCTTGAATTATGGTTGTCCCTTCATAAGTAACGATGGACTTGCCATACAAAAATTTGACCATACCAGAGGCTCCAGTGAGAAGTATCCAGAATTCGAGTGTACCCTGGCAAAAGAGGGCTGCCACCAAAGCGATGACTGCCACTACAGACCCATTTGGTGCTCCTGTCGTGGTCCAACATGTGTCCGTTACACGAGAGTGAAAGAAGGTGCGGGTGACTCTAAGTTAACTGCATATCCAAATACATTTGAAGATTGGGGATGGCATGGTTGCGGTTGGAAAGCTGCAGGATCTTATTGCGACTGCTATAATGACAATCGGGATCAGCGGAAAACTGTGTGGTCCCTGCCAAACAGAGATGCCGCTACACATATAGCATCAACCAAAACGCTGCAAAAAAAGACAGAAAATTAATTTCTCCAAAGTACACCGCTGAAAAATAGACATGAACGAGGAAAGAAACTTTAAATTTTGACGCGCTTACGTAATTATTGAAATTTGGCACGCTAAAAGTGAGAACTATGTATGAGTCTCATTTTGTCTGAATAAAGGATGTAATGTGTACGTCACCACATTTGATAGCACCTACACCCTGTTGGTGTAGAGATTGCATTGAAAGGCTATTTTTCTGAGAATGAGAGAGAAAGACAGAAATAACTACTCTTAAAATGTAGTATCAATTGAGGTTGATCTAAAGGGTATTGACTGAAGTCTCATCCAGGTTTGCGTAATTGAATGTTTCATAAAAGAGGCCATAAAAGCAAAATAAGTAAAAAATTTAACAATCGCTAAAATGATTTGTCGTCTCCTCTGATACGCTCTAGCCTAAGCAAGATCCAGATGGGTTGTCCTTCCTTTAGTTAGATCCTTTCAACCTGGAAAATGGATGAAAGAGTTGATATTCCGACCCCTTAAACATAGAGGGCAAAATTACTAAATGCTGATCGGCTCAGACAAAGGGTATGTATCGCTATCGGACATTATTTCAAGAGTATTTCAACGCTGACTAATACAAAATTACAAGAGTTGTGAGAGATTTGTAAGTGTCAACGGAGAGTTTTCCCCTTTTTTACGTCATCACCCGCTAGCTCGTTACCAATCTATGGGACACCTTTAAGACAAAATGAAAGCACTTAAGGACCCAAAAAAAACCGAGCGTTATTTTCTTGGAATTTTTCTTCTGTTGAAATTGGTTTATACATTTGTACACTCCTTAGAATTTAAAACATTCAAAAAGGCTTAACTTTGCCTAAAAGTACTACAATGAAACCCCTCTAAAGTTGACACCCTTGGGACCGGAGGAAATGTCCAATTTAGAGGGGTGTCCAGTGTACTGAGGTTTTACCCATAAGGCAATTTTATGCCGCATAGTGTATTGTCTGGCTGTAAGTACCAGTATATGGTACACGAGTACTAATAAAGCACATCAGTAAAGAAGCAAAAAACATGGATCACAAGGAAACTTTTCAACGTCACTTTATTTAATTTACAAAAAAATTAAGGGTTACACACATGGTAATATGATTGTCGCTTTTAAATCATTTAAACATGAAATGTTCAAGATTCTCTGTCTAAATTTCCAAGATGCTTTTGGAAAAAGGAATCCAATGTCAATTGCATCTGACTACAACGTTGTTCAACTTTTTTCTTTTGGTTAAATTTTCCAGCTCTAGAACCAGTTGGAGATAATTCTCATCTTTGTGATGAATGTTTTAACTTAATAACCATATCAAGCACTTTGTTAAAGGTTACTTCCAGGAACATCAACATGTTTCTCCTCATCATCATGGACAAATTGTTTGTTCGACTCTTCAGCTATCGGTTTAACAAAGCTTGATATCAGGTCTCTTTCCCAGTTCCCAGTGTTTTCTTCTGTTGGCGGTTCAATGTCAACGTTTTGCAAGAACGACTGATCGACTCTCAACTGTTGAGCAAGAAGCGACAGTGGAATGTCGTCTTCATCTTCGTAGTCATCTTCTTGTTCGTCTGTCACAGGAAAGCTAGTGGTTTTGAAACACTTTATAAGTGTCGATGGTGCTGTCTCAGACCATGCCTTGGCTATCCAGTTGTAGCGTCTAGTAAAGTTATTTCTTTACAGAGTTCAGAAACACTTTCAGCCCTTTCGATCTTGCTTAAAAGCGATAGTAGTAGATGTTTCTTGTATCGTGCTTCAAAGACACGGAGAGTCCCCTTGATCAAGTGGCTGTTAATGGGATGTTGTCTCTGCTGGAAGAAACTTAAAGGTTACGTTCGAGAGCTGACAGTCGCCATTTGATGAGGCATTATCCAAAAACATCAGTGTGGAGTCGTTTTCGCTTCGTCTCTTGATTCACATCTTTAATCCATGCCAAAAAGATGTCGTTTGTCATCCAGGCTTTCTTGTTGGCAATGTAACTTACTGGTAATTGCTCAGGCTTTATATTTTTAAAACAACGAGGTTTCCTGCGCCTTTCCGATAACCAACGGCTTGAGCTTTTCACCAGTGGCACTACATGCAAGCATAGTTGTAGCTCTCCCTGTAAAATTTCATTGGCGGCGAATTTTTTTTAGCAGGGCTGGTTTCATTGCTTTAGCGTCGTGGTACAAAATTAAAACTTCATTCAGCTGATTCGTGCGTTTCACAGTGAATTGACACTAACTGGAAACCGAAATAGCTTCCTGCGAAATAGAGCAACAGCGTACGTTTTTTACCTTCTTAGTGAAAGGAAATTTTGCCCTTTATATTGAAAACAAGTGATCGCACGTTTCCTTGTAAACTTAAGGATACATATCTTTAATAATCCTGCGCGACTCGGGCAATTTCCTCTACTTCTGAAAACACAAGTGATATTTGTCTAAATTTTACTCAGCCCATGCAGTTATTCACCAATTCACTCCTTCCATTCCTACCTTCCACTTTATTTTTCGAGGCCATTAGCTCGCAGCCTCTTAGTTGATTATTGTTTTTTTCTCTTTTTTGTCTTCTTGTAAATGGCATCTATTGACGATTTTCACCCAAAACGACACAAAAAGGAAAGATACTAAAACTACATGTCTAAAGAAGAAAGTTTGAGTGGTAATTGCAAACTGACAAGAGAAGTTGAGAGGAGAAGCAGGCCGCGACGAACACTGACTATACCGTTAAAAGTCTTCTCATTATCTAAGTGGTACATCGTTACTGATAACATAATAACAAAGGATCTAAAAGAAGGAAGGGAAATTCGTTCTGGATCTGGTTAGATACTGACACACAAAAAAAGAAAAGATCTCAGTAACTTTGTATGATTAAACTACCATAGGAATAGGTAAAGAATAAAACAGTTTAACAAGAATAACTGGTGAAGCATAAACATCGTGAATTTCTTTATACAGGTAAAATAGTATCAGCAGTACCTGTGAAAATTATGTGATGAAAATTAGGTTCATATCGAAAAGAAACTCGGCGATGTCATAGCCTCATCACAAAGTTCAGTTAGAGATTAATTATTCCTGAGAAAAAATTTTTGGATAACTCAACTGAAGAACTAAAAGCAACTGATGAAAATAAATCTGCTTCTTAAAATGTCTTATCATTTGATATTTGACATCGCTGAACGACAAATTGGTGAGATTCGTACAATTACAAACAGTTTTGTAGACTATTAGTCTGATTAGGCATCTAAAACCTGTGTAGAGCGCGTTACACGAGCCAAAAACACCCTATTTGCAGTCAAAAAACAGGAAAATAAGATAACAGGAGGATTAAGAACTTTCTAGAAGTGCGTTCTTGAAAAAAAAAAAAACAATTTTTACTTCTTAGGAAAGGTCACGCAGTCACGCTACAAATACTATTTCTATACGTGGAATTTCTTGATGGTGGAAAGTGGAAAAAACATTTTCCAGTCTTATTTTCTGGAAGCATGGCGCAGTTAATGAATTTATGGGGCTATTGATATTTCCTATCAAATAAGGGGGCAGAGTTTCCCGTCATCCGCGGTATGGAAAAGCCGAAGTTGTTACACTCGGGAACTTGTACGTCAACAAGCACGCGACATGTGACTTTGAAATCTCCTCTCCTGTTACAGTTTCCTTATTGTAAACTGTGCGATAATGATAATAGACGATCAAATTATATGCTAATGAATGTTTTTTTCTGTACAAGAGCCCTATTTCCTGATTTTAGCAAATCTCCAAAGTAATAAACGACTGAAGAAAGAAACGCTACGATTTTCCCACTGATTTTTCGCCTACATGTGCATCTCTCTAAACGTGAAATTTTCCATTCCTACAAAAATCTCGAAAGTTTTTCACATTTTTCACCTTTCTTGATCAATCATCCTGTATAAAGAGCTAAAAAATGTAGGTCTATTTGGTCAAGTGACCGCCTAAAGCAAGAATTGCGTGACAGATGTAGCTGAGAGAAACTTGTCACAGTCGCAGATTTTAAAAGGCATCCGAGACAAAATACGGTAGTGCCCAAAGATTTTTTGACGATTTTCAGAGATGAAATAATGGGTTATAAAGGGTTATTAAGATTAGTGTTGTGGCTCTCTGGCAACGGGAGATATTTCACCTCAAAGTTGTCAAATATTTGGATGAATCGAAAAGTCTGAAAGCACAGTCGTATATTTGCCTCTGTTCTTGACAAGCCGTCAATCAAATTGACTGATACTTGCGACGGACATTAACTAAGGATGTAAAAATATGTGTGCAAACTCTCAGAGTAATTGGTTAAATACCATCGCAGTGAGACCTTCATACATTTTACTTATTTTGAAGCGGTTTCCTTAGTGAAAACCAAGAAAAGCCGGGGGGTATGGTCTATCTTCCCCCGGAAAAAACCGAAACAGAAACCAGTCTGTCTTTTTTAGTTTTGGGGTAGACCCTTTAAACTGGCAAAGTTTCATTGAAATCGGTGAGATGGCATGTAACACGATTTCCCGGTGCTCTCGTGGACACGCTCTTAAGTAATCTGTCAAAGGAAACAAAACTAAGGTATTGTAAAACTCGAAATTTTCAAAGACAAAGCGTATTCAAATACGGGTATCCTGCTGATTTCCAAATTTGTTTTCAGATTTATCAAAAGTTTATCAGACGATTTTAAAACATCATGACCAACTTGCTTGTGTGGTTGTTGACAACTTGATTATGTTAACCTGAAGGCTCGCTACCTTTCCAATCCAACGCACGCGCATGCCCAGATATGTGTTCGGGTCTCACCTAATATTTTAGCTTATTATTCAACACTTTCAGAGAGATAGAGAAAAGAAAAAATATGAAAGAAGAGCTCTTTATGACGTACATGATTAAACTAGTCCTGGGAGAAGCCAAAAAGATGGATGTTGTTTATGTGGAATAACAGTTAAAGGTCTTCGTTTTGTTTTCACTGTCCAATTTAAAGCCTTTTGATTTTAAATACGTACTTTCTGATGCGTTTTCGCCTGCTGTCCAAATCA